TACTGACTGGACTGTGACAGTATTTGGTGATAAATGGTGATAGTTATGTTTACTGCTGTTCGCTTTATAATAATCCTTCTATTATTATCAGTTTTTTGACCACTGGGCCTTTAATACACCTCCTGATGATGTGTTAAGTGTGTGTGCGTGTGTATGTGTGTGTGTGTGTGTGTGTGTGTGTGTGTGTGTGTGTGTGTGTGTGTGTGTGTGTGTGTGTGTGAGTGTAAAAGAGAGAAGGAGAATGTGAGGGTTATACACACTATAATCACTGTTACATCAGAGGTGAGAGAAAAAGGGAAGTGAGAAGTGTTGTTTCCATGGTAACCGACATGTCAGCGAAGGGGCACGGTGCGGCTTTGTGGTTTTTTTTCAGGTGAGAAAACACACGCAAACACACACACACACAAACACATTACAAGGCTACAGGTAAACATCTATATTTTTGCAGGAGTCATGCGTAGAGCCATTGACCGCAAGTTAGAAGAGCCAAGGGCCAATCACAGTGGAGTATTTTAAACCAGAGGACCAGATCTTTCTGAGAACAAGGTTAATTATGGGGTTTGGGAATGAACCAGGTTTATTCTAAGGGAATCCTCAGCTGCAGTGTAAAAGCAGACTTAATGAGACTCTAAAGGGCATCAAAGACAAACTGACGGAGGCCTTCACATTGCCTTACAACCTTTAATCTTTATTACAGTAATGTTTTACACAAACTGCTGCAATGCATGGGCAAAAATCCATCACTCACATTGAACTTTCTGAATCAAACTGTTCCTCGTGTTGAGACATAATCTTTTTTTTACAGGATCAAATGCTTCTACCTAGGGCCGTATTTCCCAGCAGCATTTTAAAGCTAAATTGATTCTGCAGCACTCTGTCAGGTCAGGTCAAGATGGCTTGCTACTGGTCACCACCACAAATTTGCAGGTCAAAGTCCACCAAAGTGGGACTTGACACAAAAAAAAAGTGACTACCGTGGCAACCTCGCGTTTAATGCTGGTTTGCCTCACCCTGGGGGCTGGCTGGGAGGCCGCTACTGTTTCATGGACATTTAAAATTAAATTTTTAAAAAAAAAAATTAAATTTTTAAAAAAAACCCCCCCCCCCCCCCCAAAAAAAAAAAAAAAAAAAAAAATTTTTCCCCCCCCCCCCCTTAAAACCTTAAAAAAAAAATTTTTTTTTCCCCTTTTTAAAAAAAAAAAAAAAAAAAAAAAAATAAAAAAATTTTTAAAAAAAAAAAAAAAAAAAAAAAAAAAAAAAAAAAATTTTTTTTTTTTTTTTTTTTAAAAAAAAAAAAAAATAAAAAAAAAATAAAAACCAACCCCACAAAAAAAAAAAAAAAAAAAAAAAAAAAAAAAAAAAAAAAAAAAAAAAAAAAAAAAAAAAAAAAAAAAAAAAAAAAAAAAAAAAAAAAAAAAAAACCCCCCAAAAAAAAATTTTATATAAATACCTTGGTATTATTATTGATTCTGAGGCTTCTTCCAACCTCCAAATATGCTGTTATTAAAAGGAAATCAAGGTCTGGGCATTCTTCAGAGGTCCAAGGATTGGTTCTCTTTTAATGACAGGGGGAAAAAAATGTTGCTACCCATTCTAAATTATACTGATATAGTGTGTCATAATACTACTAACTCAAATGTGATGAACAATATTCTATATAGATGTATTTTGAAAACATTACATGTGATATAGGAATTTCTTACTTTGCTGTCTTTAAATGACAAAAAGGAACACAACATATTTTGGATTATTCAAAACTAAAATTTTTTTTTTAACTTCAAATCAAGTTGTCAGTGTTCACTTGTTAATTACTGTTTTTCTTTACTATTAGTCCTATTTTTATTTTAACCTGTGCTTCTGTGCCCTTTTTTGTATGCACTTACCAATAGGCATGTTGGTAAAATGGAATGACTGGTCAGGACACTTTTAAAAAAGGGATGTGCAAACTTCTTGACTATGGTGATTATGAAATTGTTAAACAAAAAGCTAGTATTGAGAACTGACAAAATATTGGAATATGCAAAGCTTAAGAGATGATCATGAATCTATCTATCTATCTATCTATCTATCTATCTATCTATCTATCTATCTATCTATCTATCTATCTATCTATCTATCTATCTATCTATCTATCTATCTATCTATCATCGAGTAGTGAATTCTTAATTTAACAGCCAGATAACAACCAGAAATCCATATGATGTTATTCTAGATGATCAAGCCGCATAAACCTGAAACAAAATGGCTGCAGAGCACGCAAGAAGTTTCATAGATTTTAAGAACAAACAGCAAGCCATTGTGAAGTTTTAGTGCAAAGTGGCTTGTTAGTGACTTCAGTACACTAGTAAGTAAAGACACTCTCATTACAGAACTCATTTGGTAAGTTTTCAATGAATGCACCACGGGCATGCTGCCGCTTCAATCTTCCAGCTCCATTATCATCCCAACCACAACCAAATGAAAGATGCACTGTGTAGTATAATGGCAGCGTCTCTGCAGAAAAACCACAAACCTTGTCAAACATTCTGAAATAAAGTCTAAAACAAACCTAAGCCAAACAGCAACATTTCTAAAAGTCTGTATGTTGGGTCCATTACTCACATTTCCCACTGAATCAAAGCCTTAACCACTGGCCACAAGATAACAAGCAGTCAGTGTGAGGAGCCTTCCTGCTGTGTCTCTGCTCGTATACAGTAACTGATGATGGCTGGAATGAGTTAGAGGGAGAAGAGACATTGAAATGAAAAAGGAAACTACTGGACACACACTGAGTCCCACAAGAGGGACACTCTTGTGGGACTCAGTGTGTGTTTTTATATATCAGTGTGTAATTATGTGTGTGTATGTGATATAGAGGCTCCTCTTCACTGCAGGCCACATGGACCCAGAGGATCTATGGATGACACTATTCCAGAGACATGGTGCTCTCTGTTGTCAAGGTTGATTAGTTGCAGGATAAAACCGGTTTCCTCTCCTCTCCTCCTGCTCTTTTTCCCTCATGCTCCCCTTCTTTTACTCTTTTACCCACTTGTCCTCCTGTTAATCGACTCTCCTATCTCCACTCTTATTCTTTTCCATTACACTCCAGGCTTTGCTCATTGTGGACATTCAGAGGATGTTTTACAAACCCAAACACACCTGAGAATGATCCACGTATCACTTTGATTTTCATGCACTGCAGGAATGGAAGACTTTCCCATTTCAATTATTGAGAAATAATTATTACTGGATCCAAAGTTTTAGTTGCACTGAATCAAGTAACCATATTCTGTGTCTGTGGCTTGTAGCTCTTCCACTATAATTGGAAATGTAGTTGTTAAAGATGGTCAAGTCATTCAGGTGAGATGTTATAAGTTATTACAAACCTAGTCGATTTTGGCTGGAGCTGGTTCCCTAAATCCAAATCTAAACTCTGATAGAGCTAGTATCAGCCAGGATCTGGCTGCCTGACAGTGGCTGTGCTATTGTAAACGTGGCTTTTATTAACACAACCTGTAACCCCCAAAATGTAATTAGTTAATAAAATGCTCTCTGGCTAAGTTAGTTAGCCATTCATGCTAACATTTGCAGCTGACGCTAAAGCTGAGACACATTCAATTTAAATCAGTTTATTTCCATTTCATTTCCATTGTGCTCTTTCGTTTCTGGCCAATTACAGTGATGTTTATAAGTGTGTATTATCCCTGGACGTAAATATAATATAAACAAAATGACAAATAAAATGACATTTTGATAGAAGACTTTCATGAACAAACAGGATGTAAAAGTAACACAAAGACAGTTTTTGGGATTGGTTTCATTTTGTTGAAAGCTGAAATGATGTCATGTTGATCACAGCACTAAAAGTAGTGGGTGTCAAAAGAGTAATCAGAGAAATGTTCAACCTACATCTAGTCCATGAAAGCTTTAACAAAGCACCTGTTTCTACATGAGGAAACATACACTGTTGCACAGGAAGTGATGCGTTTTATATTTCTGGCAGCAGCAGGTGTTTTTCTGAATAACCATAGATGCGGATAAAAGTGCTCCACATGGAAACCATGTCAACAGAAAACCAAGATAAAAGGATGCAACGTTACTGCTCAAGCAGTTTGAATCGCAGGTCACCACTGTCGCCCTTAGAGTCAAGTGAATGCAACAGAGTAACTGAATGATTTATTGTTCTTTCAATAGGAGAGACTTTATCACGCAGCAGGAGGCGAGCATCAACTGTCTAATCAGCCTCATTGAAGAGGACATCGAAGTGACTGACAAGCTGGCTGCTGCCTTCAAGGCTTTGGGTCGTGACTCCGTCAGCTGTGAGGTGTTAATAATATGAGCCCAAGAATTAGTCGGCCCTTTTCAAACATGTTTTCAAATCATCCCTCGACTCCCACAGCACTGGACGCCTTTGCTGTGGAGGAGATCATCTATTGTTCTGGTCCTTAAGACCTCTGACCTCTGCAGCACTTCACCTCTACATCAATGAAATGCCTTGAAAAGACTGCACCAGAGAGGCTTTATTACCCTCACAGATGCGTTTTCATTTTGCTACACCTCATTGTCATTGAACTACCAACACATTGGTTTATATTTTCTTTGTAAATCTGTCAATGATTGGAATACAACCTTCAACCACACCTAAGGTAAGCTACAGCTACTTGACCTAGGTCCAAAAGTTGTTGAATAGGACAACCATGGGTAAGATATTAAAGCTTCCCTGTTTTCTTGTAAACAAACAAACATACCAGTGCTTCTCACTAAAATATATCATATATATGTTAACACCTAACAGACATGTTGAAATTCAGTCCATGCAGTGTGCTACGCCAGTAAGCTAATTCCTTCCTCAAGCATCTGTATGTAACCTTTGCTAAACTGATATCCAATAACATAAAACAAACAAAAGCCAGCCACCGCATGGATATCTGTGTAGCTACTGTTGTAATACAAGTGTCACCAAACTCAAAAATGCCTGCGCTGCTCTCTTGCCCCAATCCTCCCTCCTTTTCTCCCGTTACCTCCTCCGCTGTCCTCCTCGTCGATGCTGTTCTTGACGCTGTCGTACTCCTCGTCGATGTTCTGGTTGCCTCGGATCTGACTGAGCACGCGGCGGGCCTTCTGGGTCAGCCCGCGCTGGATTAACCAACGAGGGCTCTCTGGTAGGAACAAGAATCCGATGAACTGGAGCAGTGCGGGAAGCACCGACAGACCCAACATGTACCTGGAGAGGGAGGGAGGGAGGCGATATATGGAGTGAGGAATCTAACTATGATCACTGAAACTACATAACCAGGTGTTTTTTGTTTTTTGGCTTATGACAGCTTTGCGTGCCGTGCAAATTTCAATTATTTCAACATTTGTTACAGAAATCGGTGGCACCTGCGTTCAGTTTCAGCTATTTGCCAGCAAGCATCAGGTGGTTTGTTCATTCAAATTAAACACTGGGGGAAATGTCAAGGCTTTATTCAGATTCTTTGGCTTAAAATAACCTTAGCATTTACATTTCACATTTAACTTTAACCCTGAACGTAATTGAAGAGGTGCTGTAATAAGTGGGTTTACATGCACAGCAACACACCAATTACTAGAAGTATATAATGACAGAATGGGGATGACACACATACTGTAATTTTTTTAATCAGATATTCTCTTAATCCGTAAAAAAACCCCTCTAAATCATAATGCACATTTAAACATACACTTTGACTGCATGCTCAACTATAAAATGTCGATTTCTAATATCTCAATGGAATAACTTTACCCAAACAAAACCACTGATACACTAGACTATTAAGTTGAGAGGAAAATTGTCTCTTTGTATCCACTTATGCAAACAATCAGGGTTCAACACATTGTGTAAAAGGGTTGTTCTACAAATCCAAACAATTGAGCAATAGGAAGGCAAAGAGTAAGAGGGTACAAGAGAGGCGAATAAGGGAGGAAAAAAATCTGATAATGATAAAATGTTACAGAGCTTTATGTCTAGAGGTAGAAATAGTGGAGAAGCAACAGGTTGCCATTTTATACAACTCCAAAGAGTTGGAAATCCATATAATTTTACTGAAGTGAACACCCAGACATATAAGGCTTTTCTTCTGCTACGCATGCAAAGACGTCAATCAGACAGCATTTATACTCCAAACTCAATAAGTGTCTCCAAAAAGCCATTATCATGTATGAATCAGACCAATCTAGAGGCTTCTAAACGATCTGCGCCATCTCCATCAGAAACGTAGATCCCTGCAAAAAGGTTGATTCTTATCTACACTGTCTCACAGCTCAACATTCAAACACGCTGGAGGCTGTAAACCTGCATTCAGTGTGACAGTGGGAAAGATGCTAACAGAAGCAGAAAAAAAGCAAAGGAGGTAACAGATAAAAGAGAAAACAAGGACAGAGAAAGAGGCATGCTGTATGTTTCAAACGTACAGTACGGCTGCTCTCAGCAAATGTTAGGGTCTGACCTGTGCATGTGTTGACATTTGGAATGAGGATCTGAGCCAGCTCGACTTTTTCTGGCATTTGATAAGAACTCAAAGAAAAGATGCTAATATAACATCTGACTGACAGGAATATTTGCAGCCTTTGAAAAGTAACTAAAGCGCATTGATGCAGACATATAAGATGCCATTTTCAACATGCTTTCTGCATTATTTGCTGTTCGTAATTTTACACATTTTCTGTACGTGTGAGGTGCTCGTCTCAGTGTCTGACCTCCACCCATCGCGCTGCAGGTAGCTGAAAGCGCCGTCGATGAGGCTGGCGGTGAACTGTCCACCGGCGATGAAGAGGGTGTTAACTGTCACCAGCTGCCCCCTGAGGTGGGGCGGAGAGGCCTCAGCGATGTATACTGGCACAGTCATAGAGGCAATACCTACACAGCGGGGGGAGAGAGAGGGGGAGAGGTGGTGGTTAGAGGGAGGTTCAACTAAGCAAGGCGACTGGCGTGCAGAGATGGTGCCTTGTGCAGCAGATGTTATGAATCCATTAGGGCAGGTTTACAGCTAAATCATGACCAAGATCCATAGAACCAAGGCAGGTTTTTTAAGGTAACCAAAGTAAGCGACTAGCTGGTGAACGTACAGGAGTTGGTGCTTCAGGAGTTGGTGGAGACCAAGAGAGATAAAAAAATATCGGAATAAATATGGTAAATATTGGAGTGGATTTACTGTACCAGGTGGCCAGAAACGTCTGTTGGGAACTAACTGCTTGTCAGCACATTTGCCTTTACAAAGTCAATATGGGTCAGTGAAATGTTTACAGCTTCTTCCGATAGCCCCAAGTGGCCCATTATTGCTCCTTCTACCCCAACTACAATACAATATAATTGCTAATATTACCTCACCACAAAATGGTCACAATTTTCTCTCAATTATGGCAATTTCATAGTTGTTTGACAAACAACACTTTACTATTTTTAGGATTTTTATGACTATTTGTGCTTTTCTTTTGATGATTTGATACTCACACATTGTAATATTCTTATCAGATGTGATCAAGTTTTTTGAAGAAAATAAAATTTTAAATTAATTTAAACTTTAAAATCACAAAACCAGTGTGTAACAAAGTGACTGAGTTTTACCTCATTATTACCAATTACAATTATTTCACTATTAAAAACAAAACCAATCCATCTAAAAATTACTTATTTAAAATAGCTTTGACCTTTGACCCTGACATCAACAACAGCAACAATGTCGTCATGTAGGTGAACCCAAGAGACACAAACAAATACTATCTCACTAAGGGGCTCTGCATTACTCTGATCTGGAAACATCCATTCTCTCTCTCTCCACACACACACACACACACACACACACACACAACAACACACCCATACAGTGACATGCACGCTGCTGTACTCACATACACACAGAACAAACATTGGGTGTTTGTCCTGGATGTATCTGACGATGTGCCATGAGGCCGCAGCTTTCTGCAGCTGGCTCCTGATAAGCTCTATTAATAGTCTGCCACTGCTTTCTATACACCCCTCTACTCCCCTCTACTCCCCCGCCTTCCCTACTGCCACCACCCTGCTCCCGACGGCCGCCATGACTACGTGGCTACCTGTTGCTATGGCAACCACTTGCTGGAAAACCAGCCACGCTGTCTCCGAGCGGGCACCACACTGTGGAAGCTCTGGGGAAGAGAAATCGATAACCAAGAGCAAGGAGGATTTTTTGGTTTTGTTTTTGTTTTTTACCTCCACAGAGAATGGGCCACTCTGGGCAATCACCATAATCAACGTTTCAAAGCGCTGTTACTTTGCTTGAAGGAGTGCACAACATCACAACACAGTTTATGGGAAAAGTTAGCAGTTATGGTGTGTTCAGGTCTCAGCCTGGTCTACTGTTGGGTGTTGAATGATCAGAGAGGGAGGCACTCGCAGACTCTGACCAGTTCTCCTGCCTGCTGTTACACCCAGAGATATCAATCTTGTCTCTGATATTTTGATTGAAATTGATTTGACCATGCAAGCATACCCTAAGGATTTGGAGGCAAGTCTTTATCTTAGTTAGGGCTTAAAAAAGAATTATCATCTGATGGCGGAAATCCGAGATCCACATCACCGTGAAATCTAATCAACTGCTCTTTGGCATGAAGCCTGTCTGCTCAGGCCAATTTAATGGGAATCCATTCATAAGCTTTAAAGATATGCTGCTGAAAGATAGACACAAGAAAAATCTAACCCTATGACGTACTGTAGGTCACAGTAGAATTAGACATGGTATGTAGCATCTGTGATACCAGCCACGAGTTTGTAAGTACAATCTGACCTTTTTGGAAACATCTTGTGGTCAGTGTATAGAAGAACTGCTTATTAAGAGACTTCCACGTTGGTCTCTGGTCACTGGACTTTAGAAACGTAAGTAGAACACTCTACTGCTGATAAGAAAGCATCCTTGTACTTTATACTGTAGACATGTATATGTCTATAAATACCTGTCATACATGTCACATTCAAGACTTGTTCCAATTTTAAGCTACATTCTGTGGAACAAGGGTGGACTAGATCAGTGTTTCAAATGATAGGGTTTGCAGTATTCAGTATTTTTGTTGTTGTCAACAAATCCCATGAAAAACACTTCTTATCTTCAACTTTTTTCCCAAGTTTCTCAGGCTTTCAAACACAAGCCTATTGGTTCCTTTTTATTATTGAAAGAAAGGCTAACAATCATGTTCTTTCATTTTTAAAAATGCTCAGTCATTTTCTAACAACAGCTTGGCACTGTGCTTTTCAGCAAATGTTAGACAAACAGGAATATAGTAAGTTTGTTGGGTACTATTTTCAGTGGCAAAATTCACATTAGTGGGTATTTACCACTATAGATCCAGTATTTCACTGGCTTGTTTAGGGATTGTTGCGGGCTCATTTCACGGCAGCTTTTCTAAAAAAATTGTGAAGCATGTTACATTGATTTTAGACAAAGTCAAAATTGCAATAGTGCACTGTTTTTTTGTATAATTCATAAAAAATGGATGGCAACTTGTTCCAGGGGTAATAACATTGCTAGTAGTTTGGTGACGTACGGCTCAACATTTTGCACAGGGGACTGGTATGATTGGTGAAGCTACAGTGTTTGGTCAAATTTGTGGAAAAGTGATAGTGATTGGACGAAATTGCAAGGTCACGCAGAATTCACAGGGATTGGTTCCTGGAGGGACTGATTTACAGCAGCAGTACTTTATGCGGGATTAACTCAAAACTGTGATGTGTTTAATAGTTTGTGGTCCACAATGGAGATCTTTGGGACAGAGGAATAAGATATGTCAGTTTTTGGCTTCACACAACACACTACAATACTTATTAGCAAGTTCAATTCATTGTTGGTTTGGGAATTTTTATGGTATTTTGTTGACAAGAAAAACATCTCACCAGACTTATCCTTAAAGTGCAGCTGCTCTGGTTTAAAACAGTATTATCATAGATGTATCTTAAGTAGCACCATCTATCTCTATAATCTGGTTGCCTTAAAAACAAATACCTTGAAACTAAATAACTATGCAAATATGTGTGAAGTAAACAATATGCTATAGCTTGAACTTGAAGACTGATTATTAAACTTGCATAGCAGTGTAAGAAAAACAGTCCTTAGCACAGGGCTTTCAACCACATCTTCAATGGCCTTCAGTAGATGGAGCTTGCTTAGTTGTTCTGGAGCTGGTACAGTTGTTATAATGCTGTTATAATGCAACCTTCATATAGAATTTCAGTCACATGCTAACAGGTGGTCATTGACCAGGAGACAGTGGCTGGCCTGAGAAAGATCATGCAAACCATTCAACATCAGACACCAAACACCACCATTAAACAAAGACAGGGGTTACAATACCCCCCTCCACCAAATACAACCTCCTTTTATCACATTACCGGAATTCCATACTTGGATCAGCTGTACCATCTCCTTGGCAACAAAGGAAACCCCATTCAGTGATGAAGAATTTTTGTCAAACAAGAATATATTCTATACTGTATTTTGTTTGAAAACAGGTATGTTACAGAATGTTCAGAATATCAAGTTTGAATGTGATTCAACAGGTGGACAGAGCAGCATGCCAATCTACAGAGCAGTTCATAAGCAAAGACAGCAACACCAAAAGCCATGAAATTTAGCTCCTTTCTATATGACAGCTACATTTTTAACGTGTGCTTGAGCTGTACGTTTGTGTACTCAACATTATGCAGAGGCACACACACAGACAGACACATGCACAGACTTAACACAAACAAATCCTACAGATCCGCATCCGCTGTAATGCCACTATCCGTATTCGTCTAACACAGTCAGACCTTCCTCTTCTTGCTAGTTTCCCTGAGTGTTCTGCTGTTTTATCTTAGCCATATGTAACACCAGCTTGTCTCCGTCCAAGCCACGCCTGCTGCCACACACAGCCCATATGCCTAGGAGTGAGATACTACAGCTGATGTTGATGTATTTACTGAGTAATGGATCATTTCCATTTCACATCGTGCTGCAGGTGGTGAAGGGGGAAAATATCTGACGAGCCCATTAAAGCTAATACCATTACAGGCCAGTAAAAAGGTCAAATACTTTACAGGTTGGCTTCAGTTTATTGACTGTGTGAAATTAAGTGTTTTTTCGGCTGTGAATCTCTTGAGTCCTGTCTCACACAGGCGTTTAAAATGTAGAATTTATTCATTTTTAAGTTGCAAACTTCCCTTAAATGTTATGTCAACTTCCTTCCAATGTTACATAATTTAACAAGTTACAAATTTCTGTATTTTTCACCTTTACTGAAACAGTATCATGCTATACAACTAGTGACACATTTATTACATAAAATGGATAGTGTGCCAATCGCCAACCAAACATCTAGCTAGGTTAGCCGGATGCTGGCCCTGGAACCAGATCTTTATGCAGTTAGCAAACATTGGCTAACTAGGGAGCTAATGTGTCTGTTTACTTGTGGTGAAAATTGTTTATGTAAAATTGAAGTTTATTTGGAAAGGTTTAAGAGACTCGCCGCGATAAACAATGTTTAGCCAGAGTCAGGTTTCCCAAATCTCTACAACAAATGTGCGAGTGTAAAATTAGCATGATCCATGAGCTACAGTTGCTAATTCAGGTGGCTACTTCCAGTGTACTCTCACTGAGAAGTGTTTAAAATGATTTATGTAAAACAGACAAAAGGACTACTAGATAGCGAGAGTGTAGAAATATAAACTAGACGTTATTTGAGTCGCTTTTGTCCTCTATCAGTATCATTACATAGAGGACATATCGAGTCATTGTGATTCAAGAGAAGCCATCTGAAGTACTGAAAATCCTCTGAAGTTCTCCACTGGAACTAAAACAGTGCTGAAAACAAGCAAAATTATTTGAACCAAAGGCCAGATTTCTTCTCTCG